TCTCATTTTACGACAGTTTTTATAAGGTGCCCTAGTTCTGAGAAGCACCGTTTCTAAGCTATTTGCAAAAAGGGAGAAAATTAATTTATTTTTGTATCTACCACACGTTTATGATACACCCCGTATATTGGAAAGTAATTTTAAAATGTGGACCTTTTAAACATGAAAAACTTTGGTAGGACGTATTTTCTTGTAAAGTTCATATTTACTGAGATATCGCACTTCGACGCACTAATGAGCAACCCTGTATAGATACGAAACAATCTCAGACTACTTGCTAGTTTAATAAGTTTAATTATTTTGTACTGTTTGTACCACAAACGGGTTGTAAGGACTTGCAAGGGACATTGGAAAAATAATTATTACAGTGTTTGTTGTAAACTGTTCATCGACATTTATTTGCTTCTTGAGGTTTTACTGCTGTGGAATGTGCGTAATAAACACATCTGTTAAAATGTGCAGTTTGAATCCAAAATTTGCCAAAAACTGTATCAAAAATGAAAATTATTTTTTTATTTCGTCTTTATTGGTGCAGAATGTCATTCCAATTTCGACACGATTTGGATTTTGAAGTTCAAATATCACAGCACTGATTGCAAAGAGAGACGATTTTATGTAGAAAAAATACTGTCTTCTGTTGTGTATGAAATTAGAAAAATGATCGACGTTTTGTGCAAGGATGGCGCAAGATTATTGCAAAATTTCATGTTTTCCGTCCCGTTTTGCATGTTTCTCGGAACCAAAATCAGCAAGAACGCTCGCTTTTACATTATTCCAGAGATAACTAAATGGCCTTTATTCGAAGTTTCTCAAGAACCATTCGAGCTACAAAATTCGTTTTGGCATCGTAGGATAGATAGAGAATTGAAAAGTCGATTCAGTCGTAACCAATAGTGAGGAAGTTCGAGTTTTCAGTTTTCAGTTCATGTTTTCCGTCCCGTTTTTGCTCATTTCTCGGAGGCAAAATGAGCAAGAACGCTCATTTGTACATCATGTTGGCAGTTTTCTCAAAAAATGCTTGAATTCGAGAAGTTTT